GAAGAGCGTTCGGTCACCTCATTTTAAACAGGTTCTGCTTCAAAACTGAGTCTTTTGCCCAGTACCTGTTTTCATCTAACACCAGTCAAGGATGGACTTTATGTTCAACTGGTGCTTTAGTCACACAAATACTAAAGCAGTCTTCAGGATGACTGGATCAGCACACTCTTCAGCAGCCCTCTGAACACAACCGCTAACCACACTTACTTACTACTAGTTACTTAGCTGCTGTGTGATCCAGCAGCAAGTGGAGCATGACTTCTTTTTAATGTACAGCAAAGAAGAAATTAAATAACCAGAAAGGAAAGCCACAAGCATCTGCAGAAGCCAGAGCAAATACAATGAAGCACTAACTAAACTCTGGGGGACTAATAAAAATTGAGAGTCTTAAGAAGCAATGAAAACCCTACTATCACTATATTTGCTGGAAAATGAGGGCTGTCCTGAACAAAACTCTCTTTTTTTTTGAGCAGAGCTGTGTAAAGGTAGCTGCTCAGATCCAAAACATCAGTTGGATCAGTTGACCTTAAACAGCAGATTACATTGTACCAAGAGACATGCAGAAAGTGGAACAAAGCATCAAGAAAGATTTTATGGCCACTTCCCAAGGGAACCCCCTTGAGGTGTTTTTGTCAAGCTAGGATCACCAAATAGTGGTCCTTCAGGAAGAACCCTGTATGTCAGAGCTGACTTCACTCTTGATCTGCCTACTGTGAAGCAAATGTTTGAGTCAGAGTGTCATTAACACTGGATAATACGGGATCTTCAGGACTGTCACGGTTTAACCCCAGCTGGCAACTAAGCCCCACACAGCTGCTCACTCACTCACCCCCCAGTGGAATGGGGGAGAGAATTGGACGACTAAAAGTGAGAAAACTCGTGGATTGAAATACAGACAGCTTAATAGGTAAAGCCACACACGCAAGCAGAGCAAAACAAGGAATTCATTCACCATTTCCCATGGGCAGGCAGGTGTTCAGCCATCTCCAGGAAAGCAGGGCTCCATCAACATGTAACAGTTACTTGGGAAGACAAAACACCATCACTCCAAACGTCCCCCCCTTCCTTTATATGTAAGCATGACACCATATGTTGTGGGATATCCCTCTGGTCAGCTGGGGTCAGCTGTCCTGGCTGTGTCCCCTCCCAACTTCTTGTGCACTCCAGCCTACTCGCTGGTAGGATTGTGTGAGAAGCAGAGAAGGCCTTGATTCTGTGTAAGCACTGTTCAGCAATAACGAAAACATCCCTGTGTTATCAATCAATCAATCAACACCATTTTCAGCATGGATCCAAAACACAGCCCTGTATTAGCTACTGTGAAGAAAATTAACCCTATCTCAGCCAAAACCAGCACAAGGGGGTACGCTCAGTCTCTCCTGAAGTTTTACGAGATAACACTCAAGTAGTCCTCGAGTGGCAGCAGGAAGTGTATGGGACTTCCTAGCACTGCAACAATGGGATTCACATGCCAGAGAGTACTTAGAGGAGATGAAACAAACAGACTGCTCTGAAGTCTGAGCCAGACTCCCTTGCAAGTTGTGAAAAATCACATTTCAGTTACTTGCCCTAAACAAGACAGGGGATCTGGAGTCTGGCATTCTGTAAGAGACAAGAGGTATTGGCTGGGGAAAGCAAATACCTTCCCCAGGGCAGGGCAGATACACCTCTAGGGATATCTAGGTATATCTAAGGGAGAGATACCTCTAGGAA